GTCAAGGACTTGGAAAACAGAGGTTCCCAAATATTAATGGTGGAGATATAAAGCAACACAACATTTTTGCAGACTTTGACAGTATCCGGCAAATTTTCTAATCTGCATATTCACTCACTTAGAAAGTCCATTTCTGGAAAATAACCTTCAGATTCATTTCAGGGATTAAGAAGATGTCGATTGTAGTGTTGCATATAATAAAAAGAAATGGAAACAAAGCCAAATTCCATCAAAAAAAAAAAAGGGCTGATTCATGATGTCCCAAAAATAACTACGAAGTAAGTAGTAAAGGTGAGTGAAGTATACTGTTCCGTACAAATGTACACAATGTAATGCAAATGTATATATCAGTATATACAAGTATGAACAATACAAAATGGAGAGGAAAAAGCAAGCTACTGAACAACATATGTAAAAAAAGTATCAAGCTATGCAAGTATTTGTTTCAAATTTTGTGTTATTTGCAAGCACAGGGAAAGATACTTCAAAACTGTCTGTGGTAATTGTCTTTTAGGACCGAGATTTGGTGGAAAGGATGGAAAGTGGACAGGTTTAGTTTACCAGCTTCTATGCAATTTAAACTGCATATATTACTTTCATAGTAAAATTAGCTTTTAAAAGTTTCACACACTTTTAAACACATTTATTCAATGTCTGCCATGTGCTGGACACATGAAAGCTACATTTTATATCCAAGGAGTACAGAGTTAGCAAGGAAACCAGTTCATCATTCCACAGCACCCAGTCATATACAAACCAAACTGGGAGCGCCTTGAACACAGCACTAGGGACATTTGTCACCATTTATCCCACATACCTGTCACAGCACTTGGCACATGGAAAATATGCAGCTAAATAAGTAGATGACTGCATGAATAAATGAAGGCACATACTCAGGACCTGACGTTACCAGGGACTCAATGTCATCGCCTTTCACAAACCCTGATCTGATCATTTGCAAAGCCCAACTTTCCATGTTTTAGGACCTTCTCTGGATGTTTTAAACTTGTCCTTTGCCTAAGTCCATGTGAAAGACAGGCACCTGTCAGGATATCATTTCTGGCCTGAGACTACCAGTAACATTATCAGAATACCATGCTTGCAGGGATGCCAAGAATTTAAAGAGATCGCAGATGTGAAGTCACATCTGTGATTTCAGCTGCTTGGGAGCCCAAAGCAAGAAGATTGCAAGTTCTAGACCAGCCTGAGTAACTTAGTGAGTGAGACCTTATCTCAAAACAAAATATAGAAAGAACTAGAGGTACGGCTTGGTGGTCGAGCGGCCTTGGGTTTAATCCCTACTACCAGAGAGACAGAAAGAGAGAAAGACAGAGGCAGAGAGACAAAGAGACAGAGACAGAGACGCTTGTGACATATCCTCTGTGCTTTTTGGACCCCACACTGTTTTAAAGACTGTTCCAGAGAAATATGAAGCAAAGGTTATAAGTGTGGGCTCAAACTAGTAACTGCATATAGTAGAGTACATTCTCACAAACACATAGATGTCATGCCCAGCCCACTGTGGAGGGCAGCCAAGAACCTGCTACAGTATGATATTTAGTGCTCTGCACCAGAACACCAGCACCATGCGGGCAACCTCCCTGTCCGCTGGGTTTCCGGTTCAAAACATCCCACAAGGAGCACTTCAGCAAGAACAATATTTAATTCAGTCTTTTGGTACTCTCTTTGCTTATTTACTATCTGTATTTTTTATTAAAATTAAGAAGAGCTTATTTGATTAAGACCATAATGCTCATGGGTAAATGACTAGATTTTTTTTAAATTTTCATTTAGTTTCATTTTAATTGACAAGCTTGGGTTATTCAAGACTATCAGATACTGGCATATAACAGTCTGGTTTTAAAATAGATAGTTTGCTCCTCCTGTTACAGACACTGACAGTTTTCTGATGCTTCACTGTGACACATTTTCTGTTACCTGTTTTAAATACCTGCAGAAGAAAAGATGGCTTGCAGATTTTTCTTTAACAGCTGAGTACTGATGTTTTAAAACACAAATAATGTCATCATAGCTATGCAGAAATCTGTTTGGTGGTTCTCTGATACACTCAGGATGAAACCCCAAGTCCTTACATGAACTATCCAGCACTCTGTGATATACCCTGGTGATTCTTTAGCCATCTCTGATCCATCTTCCCCTTTCTCCCAAAGCTCCAGCCACACTACAACTTGCCAAGGTGTCTCCTGCCTCAGGGCCTTAGCACATGCTACTTTCTCAGCCCAAAATGCTTCTTTCCTTGACTTCTCATCTAGCCAATTCCTGCTCATCCTTTAGGTCTCACTTCAAGTATTACTCTTTCAGGAGGTTTCTCACACGCCTACTTTACGTCCTCTCCCTGTTAATTTTTCCACTCCTTCCCTTTGTGCACCTTGTATCACAAGTTTAATGTCAACCCCTGATTAGACTTGGAACTCCAGATGATAAGAATCACGACTGGCAGACTGATCACTGCTAATGTCAGCAAGTACTTATTGATTAGATGAAAATAAAAGAAAGAAATTAATTGTGTTCCCTCTTTTAATTATGTTTTTCACAACTACAAATTGGGCACAGTAAGAGAGGGGGACTGAGTCCCTATCACACACATGCTTACAGCAAACTCGGTTACCTAGGATGAGATGGAGGCAGGAGGGAAGGCACAGGACTTGGCACATGGGATATTGTGTTAGACCCAAGGAAGGAGAGAAGCAGTGGTATCCTTCAGAGAGAGAAAAGTAGAAAAGCTAATTATATTGAGGAAGGAGAGGAAGTAAGGCAGTGAGTAGTCAGGTAGTTGGAAGTTGGAGAGATTAATAGGCAGGGAGGATTCTGGAAGGTCACTTGTTGTGGGGTAGTCAAGGCCAGGGAGGGCTCTGGGGGAGGCAGCAACTCGGTCCCTGAGCGGGAAAGGGAGAGTGTGACAAGGAAGGCTGCTCACAAAGGGCTGCAAGTGTGAGGAAAGCACACCTGGGACATATCTTAACTGAGGGGCCAGCAGGAAATGGGGAAAAGTCTGAGAAGTCAATTCACACAGCCTGCAAACTGTCCCACAGTTATGGAGCGCCCAAGTGCTAGATAGAAGAGAAACGCACTACAGATGCCATTACTGATGGCAGAGTACAGATGAACGTTACTGTCCCAGTGTACCCTTCCACCCTACACAGTGAGACGACTGCACTTAAGTTCACTCTCTCATAAAGGACAGTCTCCATGTCTACAAAAGTGACAATGAGGAGAAAGAATGAAGCATGCCCAAAAGCCAGGTTGCCCGGTTTCTACATCCAAGCCACAGCTTCTGACAGATTCTCCACACATCTACAATGAATTTTGGAAACTGTTCTTGGTTGCCCGCCCAACATTGTATTTATAAACTATCTGGAAAAGATAGCTTGCTGCCAACCTAAGACCCCACAAAATGTCTCAGTAGAAAATGCTGGCGACCACAGTAATGCTACTGAAATAATAGATGGTATTTACAGAAAAAAGACCACATTTATTAAGCATATTTCGTGCCAGGCTCTGTTCTAAGAATACTGTTTAATCAACTTCGTTAATTGTCACCAAAAAATCACACACAATAGCTACTACTATTGCCATTTTCCTGATGAGAAAAATGAGGTCCAGGGAGAGGGACACCACGGAGCAATGTGTCTAAGAAGTCAAACCCGTAAGTGTGACTCCAGAGCCTAACTCTTAACCTCCACACTAGCTTGTTAAATTTTGTCCTTACCTTACAATTTACAAAGCCTTTACAATAGATACAAATATTACCTGATCCTCTTAATAATGCTTCCTAGTAAGGAACATCCTTATCTCCATTGTACAGATAGGGAAACTGAGGCTCTGAGACATTAAATACTGGTGCAGGAAATCAATAGCACTAGTATCAGACAGCAATGGAAACCCATGACTCCTCGCTCCTAAAATGCCACACCATCTCTCAGTTCTGCTCTTGCAGGCTTATTGGTGAGGACTGAATCGCATTTACACAGTGACATAGGCAGGAAGATAAAGACTACACTGAGAGTTTATTGGGTTTGGCATGAAGGTCTTGACCCCTGAAAACATGACATATCTCCAACGAGAAGTATGATTTCATACGGCGCCAATGTCAGGGAGTATCCCGGGGAAGGGAACAGGAGGAGAAGATACTGCCCAAGAAAACAGGGACCCAAGAGCTGGCACCAAAGATGAGCCTTGCTCGGAGCGGCTGGCGCCTGTCAGAACGGCCCTGCTGCGCCAGCGGCTCGGGAGAGTGACCAAAAAGCCACGGCAGGGTTGCAGAGACAGGTTAGAGAGGAGCCCTAGTCCGGACCCTCCCCCGGAGCCCTCTATTGTGTCTTTTTTCCGGTGAACGCCTCTCTTGTCTTCATGCCATCTCTTCCCCACCCCTCCCTTGCCGTGCCCACGGTGTCAAGTGTTGTAATTGAACCTCTGGCTGCCGTTAGTACGTTTGTCTCATTTCTCCATTACCCCAGAAGCAAATCAATTCTTTCGGGTCCTCTGATGGTTTCTAGTAGCCTGGGCATTGCAGCCCTGGCTCGTATTACCCGCGAACTCGTCATCCTTCCATTACGCGCTCCGCACAGAACCACATTTGCTTCCGATCCGCAGTGACCCACCCCTCCACCTCCTTTTTTTTAAACTGCAGTCCAATATTGCTGACATGGTTAGGAATCGGAAGTAATGGATACTGCGGCCAACTCCCTGAGAGGCAGAGCTTGGGGCAGGGACGGGGAAGCCTAAAAGGTGTCTCCCTCCCTAGCAAGCAACATCATAGTTCCCGGAGGCCCTGCCGGCCAAGGGGCAGCTGCACACAACCGCGCACCCCAGGGCTGCTACCCCTGCCTCCTGCGGCCGCCGCGGCTGCTATAGAAACACCGGCCGTACACACTGGGATGAAATTAAACACCCTTGCTGGACTGAGACCGAGGCGGGAGCTGCCTGCCGCCTCGGTCGCCATGGCAACGTGCCGAGCGACCCGGCGCGGGGATACTCACTCCATCGCGGAGCTCCGGGCGGCCCGGGCGCTGCTGCGGGGCTCCCGGCACTGCTGCGGGGCTCCCGAGCGCTCTGGCCGTGCCGCGCGCGAGGTGGAGCCGGGAGCCGTCTGCCCTCCCCGCCCGCACCCCCTCCTCGCCTGGAGGGTTGAAAGTGAACGCTCTGGCTCGCTCGGCTCCCAGCCTGCGAATAAGACGGGAAGCAATTGGATAATGTTGTTCGCTGGGCGCTAGACAAGCCACTCCACTCCGCGGTTCGGGGAGGGAGCGCGCCGGCAGCTGCGCGCCGGGCGAAGCGGCCACCAGCGCTCAGAGCCCGGCGCCCAGGCGCCAGGTGCGCCCGCGGCTCCCGGGGGACGCAGGACTCTGCGCGGGGCGGGTGGGAGGAGGCGAGAGGTGGCTGCGGCGGATGGCACAGCCCAGAGGGCGCAGGGAAACGATTGAGTCATTGGCAAGGTTGCGGTTCTCGCCGCTTGGAAGTTGCCAAGAAGCTTCTGGCCTCTGCACACAGCAAGGACTGCCCCCAGTGGGCTGGGCTCGGGCTCCGAAGCGCCATTGTGCCAGCGCAGCGGGCACACATCTGAGTTTCCCAGAGAAAGTCCAGCTGCGCTGCGGCAAGTTAATGCGGTGTATCCCCACTTTGGTGACCTTACGCCCTCCTCGGTGTCACTGCACATTCTGCCTATTCCCGCCTGCCCTTAAGATACTGTCCAGCTTTACCTTCCCTGGTCTGGTTTGTTTGTTTTTTAAACAATAGCTATATTGAGTATGGTTTCCCAAATTACCGCAGCCCCACCCCACAGTAATAAGTCCCCCTGGGGCCCATATTCCCCGCCCCCACCCCCTCTGAGAGTTCTCCGCTAACAGGTTCCAGGTGAAAACCTCCTTCCACCCAAGTGCCCACCGCCGCTGTAAAGAGGGGGAGATAGTATAAAGGCTATTTTACATGTAGTGAAAATTTAAGCGCCAGGCTTTCCTTGCTTCTTACTGCCCGGTCTCTCGGCTTCCACCAGGGGCTGAGGACACGGAGCAAAGCCCATACACAGCCGCCAGAGCTCCTGCCCTAGTGGCGTTCACGGGCAAAACGGGAAAGACAACGCACTCATAAAAGAGAACAAAGAAGGCTAAAAATACTGCAATAAACCTTAAAGTAGTAAAAATATTGTGGTAGATACCCTGAAGTTGATTTGTGATGATCACAGGACTGTGATTAACCTAAAAATCATTGAAATGTGCGTTCCGGGTGAATTTCATGGCAAGTGGCTTAGATCTTTAAGAAGCTATTTTTGAAAAATGCTCCACTGAAGAACAAATGCGGAGCAGACCTGCTTGGTAGGGTGTTCAGGCAAGGCCTCCCTGCCAGGCTGGCCCCGCATGGGCAGAGGCCTCACACAAGAAGGCAGCCCGGTACGGGGAGGGTGCTCTGGCAGTGGTCGACTGATGGCTCTAGGTGGAAAAGAAGGACACACGTCCAAAAGACCAAGGAGACCCGTGCAGAAGGTTCTAATGGCTTTATCATTCCACAAAGTCAAGCCCCGGGGAGATTCGTGAATGTATGACTAGACATTCTTGGTCAAGTCCAGGTTTCCCTTTGCAGAGTCTAATGTAAGTTTGACCATCCTCAAACCTTCCCTTCCCATCCACGTCCCCTTCAGCCACCACCCTATATCCTCACTCTTCCCTTCATTGCCCAGCCACTTGAGAGGGTTGTCCAGACTCGCTAACTCCACCCTCACTTTCTCTTTCCTCCCGGGAGTAGATTAAGTTCATGCGTGAATAATAAAGAGGCTTAAACAGGAATAAGATTTGGTTTTCTATCTCTTAAGAGTTCTAAGATCAGTAGTCCCAGGCTAGTTTAGCCATTCTATCCCTCAAAGAGCTCAGAGACCTAATCTCTTTCAAAACACTGTTCTGTCATAGATGGTCTCTCTTCTTAAAGTCATTTTATGGTCCTAGGTGGCCGCCTCCGCTCCAGCCATCATGTCTCCATTTCAGCCAGCACAACAGTGGAAGGAACCAAGAGACAAGGGCAAGGTTGTGTGCCAGCTTGCCAGTTACCTGTTCAGGAAGGTTCTCAGAAGCTGCCATGGGACACTTTCTCTTGCGTCTCTGTTATTGTTTAGATCTAAAATATCCACACCCAAGTCTTATGTCTTAGAAGTGGGGCTACTGGGAGTGGACTGCAGTATGTGAGCACTGTACTCGTCGGTAGATTAATCCTTTGATGACTTCATAGCTGACAGTCCTGTTAGGAGGTGGGGCCTGGTGGGAGGAGGTGGATTGTGGGGGCATGATGTGAAGGGGTGTATGTTCTTGTCTCTGTCCTTGCCTCTGTCTCTCTCTGTCTCTGTCTCTGTCTCTGTGCCCTACTCTCTCTCTCTCTCTCTCTCTTTCTCTCTCTGTCTCTCTCCCTCACTCTATTACTCTCTCTGCCCTTCCTGGTTGCCGTGAATTGAGCAGCTTTCATCCACCAGGTCCTTCTGCCATGCCATTTTTGTCTTAGAGTCAGCTACCCATTAACTAAACCCTCTGAAGCCATAAACCACATAAACCTCTCCTTCTTTAAATTGCAGATGTCAGATATTTTGTCCCAGTAGTGGGAAGGCTGACTAATACAATCTGTTTGTCCAGAACTCAGTCACATTGCCAGGTTCTGTTTCCAAGGAGATTAGGAAAAGCAGACCTAATTCTTCCTCATCTTGAGCCTACCCAAAAACCGGGAGGAATCCATCCCCATATAAGAAAGGGAAGTGAAAATTAGGAAACAGTCAGCAATTTTTGCCATACACCTCAATCCTTAGCATTCTGGTTTCTGCCTCCCTGGTGATACTGCCACTGCTCACCCTAAAGGCCCCAATGCCACTTGCCATGGGCACATCTCAATCTTTTTCTTGCATGATTTGCAAGTAGTGTTTGACATTCTCAGCATTTCTTTTGTTTCTGTTGCATTTTTACCTGAAATCAGATTTATCGAGGGATAATTTACACACAGTAGAATCAACCCTTTTAGTTATACAGGACTATGAGCTTGGATACATTCTGCAGTCCTGTAACCATGCCACTATCAAGATATTACATTGCAGGGCCGGGGATTTAGCTCAGCAGCACAGTGCCTGCCTGGCAAACACAAGATCGTGAGTTCGATTCTCGGTACCGGGGGAAAAAAAAAAAAAAAAAAGATATTACACTGCCATCACCCCAGAGGGTCCTTCAAGTTCCTTGACAGTCAGTTCACCCTCTCATACCTCCAACCCCTGGCAGCTATTCATCTAATTTCTGTCCTCAGGTTTTATTTTTTCCAGAATGTCCTATAATTAGAACCAGACATGACATAGCCTTTTGTGTTTGACTTCATTAGCTTTGCAGTGCCTTTGAGTTGCATCCGTGTTGCTCTAAGTAGGCAGTCTCTTCCCATTGGTGATCATTCCATTGTACAAATGTACTGCAATTTTATTCTTTCACTTCTTGGTGCATATTCATGTTGTTTCCAGCTTGTGGCAATTATGAATAAAACTTCTCTTAGCACTCATGTCCCGTTCTTTGTGTAGACAAATGTTTACATTTCTTTTGGGCATATACCCAGGGTCCCTCTTCCCACCTTGATACATTGTCTTCATGACACTACAGTAACAAGACTTTCTAACCACTCCTCTCTATGGTTTCTTAAATGTTGGTGTTCTACAGGGTCACACCTGGGACCTCATCTCTCTTCACTGTACATACTCTCCCTTGGTAATTCCATTACCTCCATAGATTTATTTAACCACCATATGGTGTTCACCTCTAAAACTAAGTCTGCAGCACACACCACTCTCCTAAACTTAGGAAGTGATTATTGAAGTCCATTGTAATACCTTCACAAACACCGGAAAACCAGTGTCCAAAGTGCATTCATCATTTTACATGTAAACCTTGAAGTTCATTGTAATACCTTCACAAACACCTGAAACCCAGCATCCAAAATGCATTCATCATTTTACATGTAAACCTCTCCTACTCACCTACCTGCCTAGCCCAATAACAGAAAGGGCAGATGAGTCCCGAGGAACCTGGACCTCTGCCTTGATGATTTACCATTCCCTAACCCAATCTCTAATCAACACTCATCCCAGCTTCCTTCTGAACAGCCACCAAGCCCTTCCACCACTCTCCAGTCCTGCTACAACTGCTCAAACAGGCTCTCATGTGGCCTCCTTGCCTCCACTCACATTTTCTTTCAATCTTCCATACACAGTGGTTTTCTGCTTCCCTGGAAATAGAAACATACAATTAGAAGGGGCTGGAGAAAAACATGAAAAGTGTTGTTTCAGACAGTAATAGATAAAAATAAGGGGGAAAGTGTAACAATTAACACAAGACAGCAAAAACCAACATCAGTTGAGGGTCACTCAGTGGAGGAACACACAGCCCTAATATCACAGAGTATCAAGGGGTGGCAAAGCTTAGCCCCTTGTAGCTAAGACTAAATAAGCTTTCAAAATGTCCAATTCAGGTTAGACTTTCCATGTTTATACTCTTATGAGACTAAACTATCTGGAAAATAGGTTCACGCGGCACTCTCATCCCTTGTCTGTGCTGGACAAATGGAGCTAATATTATTTCAAGTGTGTAATTGAAGATGAAGGGAATAAAAAGAGTATCATCCGTCAAGTACCATTCTGATACCTGAACAAGCCAAAATCAAACCATGACATTGATCATTAAAATATAAAGATAGGTCCAGTCTTATTTGTTTTACCTGGCACCACTGGATTTTAATTGTACTCCTTGAATGAGAATTATGATGTCCAACAAAGCTTTCTCTACTTTTTATATTTTATATCATATTCTGCTTTACCTTGTTATACTTCCTTGTAGGTAATGTTAATGTTAAAGACATGTAGGAAAGAAACATATTTCTGACAGAAACTAGATATTTGTTCACATGGAGTTGTGCATGAGTGTATTGGAGTCCGTGGATGTAATTAACCAATTTTCTGAGTGTTGTTGATCTATAGATTTCCATTTGGCTTACAGAGCTTGAATTTATATCATGTCACTATGAGCTTT